AAGGGTTTGTTTGTTTTCTTTTATTCACAAAAGAGAGAGTTGTTCTTCAGTGGATTTCGAGGAATTTGGACCTAAAGCTTTGGTGGATTCTAGAGTGGCTCATCGTCGTCGATTCGATATCAGCATTCTAGATTCAACGTTAGGCAAGACAATTTCGAGGTAAAGACGGTGGTAGAAGGGACACATCGGGATCGGTTCAATTTAGGTGTGGATTCGCTAAGTAATTGTGATGTCTCGAGTCCCTTCCAAACAATTTGAGAATCCTAATATGTAATTTCTGTCTCCTTTAGTTGTCTTCGTCACTACTAAGCCGTTCGAGTCCCATATTGTTATCTATTCTTCCTTATGATTATTCATGAAGTATTCCGAGATGTCGTTTTGTACTTTGGGTGTGGGAGTGAAATCAGGGAAAATAGTGGAAATGTTTTGAGGTGGTTCTGTCTCACTTTCAAGTTGAGACCGCTTAAGCGGTCCTTTCGTAGCTCGAACAGTAACGTCGACCTCCCATTATCTAGTTTTGTAGTCTGAGCTTCTAAGAGTTTGTATTCTTCACTCGAGCTAAAGTTTTCTTCGCTTGAGCAGTCGTTCACAAGGAGGAGGGAGATTCTGGTAGTTTGAATTGTGTGCTCGAGCGCAGGTTTGGTCACTCGAGCAGTCTGTCTGCAGTCTACTCTGAAAAATGTGTCCAATCACTTAAAAGTTGAACCCTTACACATTTTTCTTTCACTTTTCACTTCACTCTCTCTCTCTCTCTCTCTCTCTCTCTCTCTCTCTCTCTCTCTCTTTACGCTAACTATCACTCTCTTTTCTCTCATCTTTCTCTAGAAACCGTCCACCCACTTCATTTACTTCCTTGATCTATCATGTGTTGTTAATTTATGTTCTTTTTTAAATGGATAATGTAAGAGAAGGAAAAGAAAACGTTATGTACTATTGAGAAAATTAGACGAAATTTTGGAAAACCATATATATATAAGTATACCTTGATTATAAACCATTACTTATTTATATTGCATGATATGAAGTATTCATGATCATAACCATTAATATGTTGTTATTGTTTAGAATCTTGTTGGGATCCCTACTGAACTTTATGCTCATCCCACTTTTTTAATCCTTTTTCAAGTATAAGTTTATAAGTGATACAAGATCAGTGATCTTCCTTATGTGTTGGCCATGGGGCCCTTATTTGTTGGCGAAATGCCATTGATGTAAAGAGGGTTGAACCCTTTCTCTTTTATGTAGTAGTGTAAGCCTACAGGCAATTTATTTAATTGTAATTCATGTTACATTTCAATTTGTCAATGCAATTGAGGGAACCTTTATATATTTATGGATGTCGGTGGATTTCCTTTCCGTATTGTATTAATGAAATGGACTATAATGATAGACTTGGTAATGTTAACCGAATAATAAAAAATGGGGCGTGACATTAGACTTCATTCATTAAATCCTTTATATTGGTGTTACTCATTAGGTTTTAGCTCACCGCCTTCTCCTATATATATGTAGGTGAGCATTTGGGAGATCAAGTTTAGAGTTTTGCTTTCGTCAACTTTTGTGAAGCTTTTGGAAGTGACACCCGAGCTGAGGCCCTTGTTGCCTCATTTGGAATGTTTTTGAGAAGTCTTGAGTTTGGAGCTTGTAATATGAATGTTTGCTTTTCATGTAATATATTTATTATGTGTATGTAAAATATAAATATATGATTGTCATATCATGTGTGCATTGCTCAATATAAATATAAATATATGATTTTCATATCATGTATGACATCCGAGCCAAGGCCCTTGTTGCCCCCTTTGAAATGTTTTTGAGAAGTCTTGAGTTTAAAACTTGTAATATGAATGTTTGCTTTTTCTATAATATATTTATTATGTGTATGTAAAATATAAATATATGATTGTCATATCATGTATGCACTGCTCAATAACAATGTTATTTTTATTTTGCTTCGACTTTAGGCCCCATTATTAAATTGATTTTTTATTTTTTTTTGGTTAAGAGGCCATGTAATCTATGATTACTAGTCAGTCACCACTCCAACCTTTAAGGGCAAGTTAGGATCGTGACAGTAAAGTAGGCATTAAAGGGTGATATTTTGCTGACATCAACAAATTTTATGAGCTTAAGTAATCCTTGACTCACATATGGGTTCAATTATCACACAAAATTCTAAAGTAAGGGGGTGTCCATGTGATTTTAAGGAATAAGGAGGTGATAAGACAAATTTAAGAGGTGTTAGTGTAATTTTCCCAAAAAACATAAAACATAAAACAAATGTCAGTTAGTAGCATTAATAGCGGAAATTTTTAATTCATACAATTAGTGTAGAATGGATTATTGTTAAAAAAATAAAAATAAAAATAAAATGTTAACTTTGCTAGATAGAATATTCATCAAAATCTAATTCAAATAATGCAATCAAACATCAGACTGTAAGTTATATAGATATCTCAATCCTATATTATAATTTACTCAATCAAACATGCCCAAAAGGTAAATCACACTAACACATTTATATTAAGAAAAATTGCATGAACCAATCTAAAACATTCACACTTGATATTTAAAAACGAAAAAGAAAAAAAAAGTATTGATATTTCATTCTATCTTTTTTCTTAATGTCACCACCTCTGTGCTTTGCAAAATTCTATTTGCACACCTATACTTCTCTCAGGACACACTATCACTCTAATCTTTTTAATTACATTTTTATTCCATAATCAAATTACATTTTTGTCCCTAAAGTAAATCCACTATATTTCTCAATACACACTACCTATCCACAACCACCCCATCATTACTATGATGCTTTGCCACCATCACCGTCGAAACCCATTCATTCATTCCCTTTCACAGCCTAATTCCTGCCCTAGTACTGAGGGATGCTTTTGGGAGATACCCGAGCGCGCCCAACAGTTTGGACTCTTGATCTCCTGATCCAATCTCACAAATGCAATGTGAAACATAAATGAAAGTTCAGATCCGACAATTTGTAAAGAAAATCCATTTTATTGCAAAACCTTCCCAAAAATGGACTATGTCACCAGATTTCAGAGTCGCCACCTAATCTTTTGGAAAAACTAGAAAACCCGTGACTCGTGCCAAAGGTTACTGTCCGTCATAACCAAAGTGTCTTGGTTCGGGAACTTAGGTATGAAGAGGAAATGTTATGAATTGAGCATCCCCGCTCACCCGATCAAAAGATCGGCCTCCACTAAGTCATGATGTGAGTTTTATAGTCTTCATATGTTCATATTCCGATTTTAATGATGCTAACAATACTATGGGAAGTAAGCAATTATAGATTGTGTCATTCATTTTGGTTATGCTTTGATTTCATGTATTTTGAAAGGATTTTGAATAAATTTACAACTCAAAAAAAAAAAATTAAGCTTATATGTATATCTATCAACGTCATAAGCAACACAACTTTCATCCATTGGCAGTCAGAGAGGTATATCACTGAAGCACATAGTCACATGGTAGGATGCTAGACATAATAAAATAACATACACAATTGGGATGCTAAATAGTAAGTGGTCACTTGGCATTTATCTATGGCAAGCCCAAAGTAATATGCTATATACACATGCATGATCCTATATAAAATAACTAATGCAATACACCCACAAAAAGCAACTAAGGACTCGGTTGCTAACGAGTGACATGAGTATCATCTCATGGCATAAGGTATCGCACAAAAACATTTTAAATTTGATGAATTCCACAAATGTAAACACTACAAGAAATTTCACTTTTGGCGACTAAAATGTAGTCTCCAAAAGCCTTATTTTTAGTCGCCAATTACTTTTGGTGACTAATATATTTAGTCACCCGTTTGGTCGCCAACAGTTTGTCGAGGAAACAATCAGCGACTAAAATTTTTTTGTTAGCCAAAAGTGACCTATTGGCGACTAAAACTTTAGTCGCCATATATTTTTTAAAAATAATTAAATATATATCTTTTTTACTTTTAGTGACTAAATAATTTAGTAGCCAATTTGAGCATGTATGTTTGGCGACTAACTATTTGGTAGCCAAAAGTTTCACTTTTTAAAGATTGGCAACTAAAAATTTAATAGTAAAAAATTTCACTTTTTGACAATTGGCGACTAAAATTTTAATAGTCAAAAGCCAACCTGTGATATTTGTTTAATCACCAAAAAGTCTCATTTAGTTTTTATAATTTGTTTTGTAATATTTTTTACGTCACCTGTAACCTGTGCATATATAAAATTATTCATTCATTCATTCAATTCTCAACCATTCAATAAAATTATTTCTCCACAACCTGTAACATTCAATTTTCAATACAAAACTTAACTATTAACTGTGCATATCAAAGAAAATAAAAATCCATAAACATATAATAATCCAACAAATACATATACTATCCAAACTAACAATTAAATCCAAATCAAAAAAATTCTTAATAACAAAACATACAATACAAAAAAAAAAACTTTTAGGGACTTTTTTTTTAGTCACCAAAAGTATAATTTTAGTTGCTGAAGTATCCGCGACATCAACAAAATTGGTCGCTAAAGCCCTATCACTAAATGGTTTGGCAACCAAATCAATTTTGGTCACCTTATAAATAAATCGGTGACCAAATATTTCAATCACCAAAAGACTAAAATTTCGTTGCCAAAAATTAACATTTAGTCGCTAAAAGTAGCATTAAGCAAATGACATGTTAAGTTTTAGCAACATATAAATGCGTCGCTAAAAATATCATTCAGTGACTAAATAAATTGATTGTTGAATTTTAAAACTTTTGGCGACCAATCAAGTTTTGGGTCGCTAAAAAAATTATTTACACAGACTTTCAGCAACAGAAATAAAATGTCACCAAAAATAAATTTACAACTGAAAAACCTGTCACTAAAAATTCATTATTTATAAAAAAAAAATTCAATTTCCCTGTTCAGTACATAATTCATAAGCCTATAAACATAAGCAAAATATAATTCAAAGTAACACACCTGTGCAAAGCATCCAAAATATAAACTTAATTCAAAAATAGTATCATATTAAATATAAACAAAATATCAAATCCAAAACATCCAATATAAGTACAAATCCCTTACAATCCCAAACTTTAAACATGTAATTCCAAAAAAACTTCTAAGCTTGCAAATTCATAACAAAAACCTATGACAAACATATTCAAAAATTCAAAATGTAATCATTTGATGCTCCCTAAATTATGTTCCATCCATTGCCAATCTGTCAAACATATGAAAAAAAAATTACAATGTTAAAATGTTAATAATAAAGTTCTTAGTCTGAAAACATTGGTTTCACATTATAGGTTAACAAATTACGAGCAATTTTTCCTATAGTGAATTACATGATTTCAATATACCAAAATCAAAAAATAACACGTGATTCACCAATTAAAATTTGGCATATATGAACTAATTACAAGCAATATCTCTACAAGTTTGTAAATTAGTAGCATATTGTCCAACCAAAATCTAGCTCAAATTATGTCATAATGGAATACTGATCAAATCCAATTACAAGGTTCCAAAATAAGAGCAAATATCAACTGAGTAGGCGCTACCAACAGAATGAGATTTCATCCAAAATGCCACCTTTACTTTCATGACTAAATTGAAATCAGAAGGACCTAAATCTTAAACTTGAGGTTGCTTTCACTTACATTAAGGTCAAAAAGTTGCTCAAATAAAAACTAGAATGAATATGAATAGTTTGATAGCATTGTGCCCACAAATCGTACTTAACCACCGATGATATGTTGTGATAATTAGTTGTCTGATATTGCAAAAACAAATTATGAGATGTGTGACATTTTTAGTATAGCATTATAGTGTTACATATTAGTTTAGTTATTTTTGTAAAAGCATATTCATTTATTTTAGCAATTTGACTTATTTATTTGTTGAGTTAGACATGGAATTGAGATTTTTGAAGCAAAATACAGCAACCACCCCCTAATTAGCATATTTGGTCTTATCTTATTTATATATCAAATAGTTCCTTGGATCATCTAATTGTTTGTCATATCATGAATGCTCAAAACATTAAGATTTCAACTTTTTATGTATGTATGTATTGTGATGCGTTCACAGTAGTATAACGAAACTAAGAATACAATAAGTGAATCCTGTAATAGCCACATATTTAATAAAAAAGTGTCAAAATTCTCTAAATAAATTAAAAATGCCTTAACAAATAGTTAAAGATTACCTGATATAGTAATTGCCCCCAACAAACGAGTGTAGCCTTTTTATCTCTCTGCATTAACCGATAACCTATAACCTTAGCAATTGTAAATCGAAGTTTAAATTAAAATCACATTATACATGAAATTAATAGAGAGTTATGGGCATAAAAAAATGTAATCTTTTTTTGATCAGCAAAAAAGTATTTATTGATAAAAAAAACATACATTTCATATGAGATTACTGAAGCTTGAGTAACCAGCTTAGGGTTTGATAGGATAGCATCTCCTATTTATAAATGAAGATTAGGGTTTACAAGATGAGACAATTACATGATGATCCCTAAGGGCATAGAACAATTACAAACCAGTAACACAGATAATAATATAATATGCTATGCTAACACTCCCCCTTAAGCTGGTGCGAAAATATCTCTCATGCCCAGCTTGCCTAATATGTCATGTAATGGTTTATTCCCAACCCCCTTGGTGAGAATGTCAGCAAGTTGTTCACCAGACTGGACAAAATGAGTACAAATGGTACCACTAGTGAGTTTCTCCTTAATGAGGTGGCGATCAATCTCAACATGTTTTATCCTATCATGTTGAACTGGATTGTGAGCGATGTTGATGGCAGCCTTATTATCACAGTATAACCTCATGGAGTCCGTCTGATCAATACCTAGATCACTCAACAATAACTTGATCCATAAAAATTCACACACACCTTGTGTCATAGCTCTAAACTCAGCTCCTACACTTGACCTGGCAACCACATTCTGTTTCTTACTCTTCCAAGTAACTAGGTTGCCTCCAACAAAGGTGCAATACCCTGAAGTCGATCTCCTATCAGTTACTGACCCAGCCCAGTCAGCATCTATATAGGCTTCCATACGAAGATGATCATACTTTGAAAAAATAAAGACCCTTACCAGGAGCAGACTTTAAGTACCTCAAGATTCTCATGACAGCCTCAAAGTGAGTCTGATGAGGAGCATGCATAAACTGACTAACCACACTGACTGCAATAACAATATCAGGACGGGAGTGAGATAGGTAAATGAGCTTACCCACTAATCGCTGATAGCTCCCCCTATCAACAGCTTCTCCTCCTTCATCATCCCCCAATTTCTGATTGGGATCCAGTGGAGTGGTACATGCCTTGCAGCCAAGCATCCCAGTTTCCTTCAACAGGTCAAGCACATATTTTCTCTGTGAGATAAATATCCTATTTTTAGAGCCAGCAACTTCAATTCCCAAAAAATACTTCAAGCTTCCCAAGTCTTTGATTTCAAACTCACTAGCTAAATATTTCTTCACTAGAGGTATTTCTCCACTATCATTGCCCGTAAGAACTATGTCATCTACATAAACAATAAGTGCTGTAGTCTTACCACGTGAGGAATGTTCCACAAACAAGGTGTGATCTGCCTAACTCTGTTTGAAGCCATGTTTAAACATAGCCTGAGTGAATCTCTCAAACCAAGCCCTTAGAGACTATTTGAGACCTTATAATGACTTCCAAAGCTTGCATGCTTTGCCTTCTGTCTGATGATCCTCAAAACCAGGAGGAATGTCCATATATACCTCTTCTTCGAGGTCACTATGGAGAAAGGCATTCTTGACATCAAACTGATAAAGCGGCCAATCTAGATTAGCTGCTAGAGAGAAGTACTCTGACTGAATTCATCTTAGCCACATGTGCGAAGGTCTCCTGATAATCAATGCCATATGTCTGAGTAAACCCTTTTGCCACAAGTCTTGGCTTGTAATGCCCAATAGACCCATCTGCTTTGTGTTTCACAGTATATACCCATTTACATCCCACAGGTCGTTTGCCTGTAGGTAACTCAGTTAATTCCCAAGTGCCATTCTTCCTAAGTGCTTTCATTTCCTCAATCATGGCTAGTTTCCACTCAGAGGTAGCAACAGCATCTTGAAAATGATTACGAATGCTAACAGAGAAAATATTGGACACAAATGCTCTATATGAGGATGACAAATGAGAGTAGGGCACAAAATGTCAGATAGGATGTTGAGTACAAGATCTCACACCCTTCCTCCTGGCAATAGGAACATCAAGATCAATGGACTCAAGAGATTCAATGTTACCTAGACTCTCTTCAGAAGCAGGAGATGGCAATGGAGGAGCAGAAGTGGTCCTTTGTATCCAGTTAACTTGTTGTCTGTCTATGTCCCGGACATAAACATGCATGTCCTTATCCTTGGTGGCATGAGGTTCTATAGTCTCAGTAGAAGAGGGTGGTGCAAGAACAACTGGTTCTACCATAGGAAGCACTGTAGAAGAGGGTGGTGCAAGAACAACTGGGTCCACCATAGGAAGCACAGGACTCAGCACAGGACTCATTTCACACCAAGGCTCCCTCGAAAATGAGGACGGTGACACCGGAGAGGACAAGAAATAGGACTAGGACTCAAAGAAAGTAACATCCATGGACACAAACCACTTACGAGAATGAGGGTGGTAACATTTATACCCCTTTTGAGTAGGAGAGTAACCAAGAAAAACACACTTGAGGGAGGGAGGGTCCAACTTGCCACGAGAAGGAAGGTGATTATGAACGAAACAGACACAACCAAATATTTTGGGAGGAATAGAAAACAAGGACTGGGAACCTAGAAAGACGTGAAGAGGAGCTTGTTTTTGCAAGACCTGAGTAGGTAGATGATTGATAAGATGGGCAACGGTGAGAACAGCGTCGCCCCAATAGGGCCGAGGCACACTCATAGAAACACATGCACCGAGCCATGTCAAGAAGATGCCGATTCTTGCATTCTGCCACCCCATTTTGTTGAGGGGTATTGGTGCAAGAGGTCTGATGGATAATGCCATGAGTAGAGAAATATTGTCCTAACCCAGAATCTATGTATTCCCTGCCATTATCAGAATGAAATAGTTTGACAGTGGCCCCAAACTGAGTACAGATCATCTTATGAAAATTGTGAAACACAAAGAAAACCTCACTCTTATCTTTCATGAGATACACCCAAGTAGTATGAGAAAAATCATCAATAAATGTAACAAACCATCAATGACCTTTCACAGACGTAACACGAGAGGGACCCCAAACATCAGAATGTATTAATGAAAAAGAAACTAAACTTTTATTCAAGCTGGGAGCAAAAGAAGCTCTGTGTTGTTTTCCAAATTGACAAGACTCACAAAGAAAGTCAAACACATGATGATTTGCAAAACCAGATGGAAATAAATGCTTAAGTAAATGAAATGAAGGATGCCCAAGATGCTGATGCCACAGCCATAAATCAGCGGGGGTAGTAGAAGACGTGGTGTAAGAATAAGCAAGTTTGTCCGGTTGATCCAGGAAGTAGAGATCATTTTTTGCACTACCACTGCCAATCGTCCTCTTCGTGACAAGGTCCTGAAAAAGACAATGATCAGGAAAAAACGTCACACAACAATTCAAATCCTGGGTAAGACGACTTAAGGATAACAGATTAACAGAAAACTTGGGAACATGGAGAACAGAAGATAGATGTATAGTAGGAGTGACATGGACTAAACCTTTTCTAGAAATGGAAGAAATAGTACCATCTGCAATCCTAACTTTGTCCTGACCTGAAGAGGGCTTATAGATAGAGAAAAGATCAGAGGAGCCAGACATATGATCTGAGGCACCAGAATCAATAATCCAAGGCAAAGACTTATGACATAGGAAAACACAAGGAGAATAAGCTAAGTTACCTGAGTGGGCAAAGGACGAGGAAGCTGTACTGAGAGTAGTAGAAGACCGGCGGTCCAACAATTGGCGCAAAGCATCCTCCAGCTCAGTATCAGAAGCTTGGCCAACAGAGGTAGAATTAGAATCAAGTGTATCAACTATTCAAACGACACTAGACTGATGAGCACGAGAATAGGAACCACGTCTCTAGACTAGCCGGACCGACCTTCACTCGAGAACCAGACCCGATTCACCTCGAACCCCCGGATGAGGTCCCTATGAAGCTTCCAAACGTCTCATGAGTTATGCGCGACTTCTTACAATAATCATTAGAAACAAAAACTCCTTCAGCAGCAGACGGAGGGATGCGGAGCTTAGGGCTGGGGCCATTCCCGAGGAGTAGACAGTAATGTGAGCGGTCAGTTAGAGACAGGGACATCATAGCAGGACCGACGACTCTCCCTCATTTTTATATAGGCAAATACCTCCTGAAGTTGAAGGGACAGAGTGTCCATACCCAGAACTCCGACCTCCTCACTAACTGGGATCAATTTTTACTCCACATTTAGGCCTGCCAGAAATTTAAAGACCCGTTCCTTGTGCGATGAACTTCATTGTTACCAACAGAATCAGCAGGCGCAAAACACGCTTATAGTCTTTGTATGTGTCTAACTGGCGAGTTTCCGAGGACTATCTTGTCTTGGTGAAAAACTGAAATACTGAAGGAACAGTCTGCACCCCCTGAAGTGAGCTCTTCAATAGAGGCGCACACTACACTCAACATCGCCGTGTGTGTTGAGGTTCGAGATAACACAACATATTCCTTGCGGAGAATAGGTGGCAGCCACCAGCATTCCAAAACATCCTAGGCAGGTTCTCCATAGCACTAAGTAGGCCACTCACCAAGTTCTGGACAGAACCATCCTTCACAGAGAATGGATAAGCCAAACCCATAATCAAAGAGTTTGTAATCTCCTAATTTGGTCATAACCCAAGTCAGTCGGTACTAGGTGCCTGTATCCTGCCATCTAACATATCCCAATCTTCCCTCTGCTCTTCAGAAAAACATAGTCAAAACTTTTGAGAACCATGCTATGGGGTAGGTTGACCATACTAGAGAAGAGATGACACGGTTGGTGATTTTTCAGGACCTAGGGTTGGGCGTTTGACTCACATTTAACATCAGCTGTTCTACTCAGCCGGGTAGTTAGGTTATAAGCGGGGACTCTCACTCCTCGGGTGTTTAGAAGAAGAGGGACAAACTGTGGAATCTGTCATGGTGATCATGGGACTATCGACACCCGCAACAAAAACTAGTGGCAATCACAAACCCGGAAGGTTGGTGCTGAAAGAATAGGCACAATGACCACTATAAAGACATAACAAAATTAAGGAAACCAATTTTTAAATTTTTTTTTTTTGAGTTTTTTTAATATATTATTTATTTTATTTATATATGTATTGGTCGGTTGTTATAATGGACATAAGTTTATATCATTTTCCCCCCAAAAACAGAGGGGAATGGAGAAGAAGAGTATACAGTGAGATCAAGACGGTCGACGAAGCGAACAGGGGAGAAGATGAGCAATG